GCCACCCCTCCCCCCACCCATCATTTCTGATGAGCAATTGGCTAGCTTTTTTTAATATAGATCAAAGTAGGTCTAGAAGCAGTTACTAGAAGTTTTCTTCAATGTCTGGTTCTGGAACTGGAAGAGCAGAGAATCACTAAATCTATATGAAGATCATGATTTAATTGGATATTTCATGAGTATTTATAAACAGCCTCACTACCTTGGTTTCACTTTGTGTGTGTGTGTGTGTGTGAAAACTGTTCCTAAAAGTGGCTCCGAAATTTTGGAACCAAGCCCATTATTGAATACTGCATGTAGATATTCAGTGGTTTCATGCTAGATTTTACTGTTTCTGCTGTGGGGTTTTGGGGATTTGAGCCATAACCATTTTGGAAAACTATGGTTTCTTCGTTTTTCATTGCTGACTAGATTAATTAACCCATTTTTCCAATTATTTAAAAAAATGGTAATACTGGTAATCTGGTACAGCTTTAGTTTTCAGATTTCAATCTGTTTTAAGCATGGTGCTGTCTCTCTGTTTATACTTCTAAACTATCTTTTATGTTTGCTTTTTTCTGTAGGGGCTACTTGATGGGTTAGAGCCTTGTGATTTATATAGAAGCACAAGCTGGATTTGCTCCTCTTCCTGACGAGTTAAAAACAATCAAGCAACAAATTCCACAGTCCCCTCCTCAACCAGGAAAAAGTTCCACCTAAGAGAGCTGTCTCCAAAAAGAATGCTTTCAAGTGTCTCCTTTTACAAATCTTCACCTCCTATTGCTAATTTAGTGGGTTTTTTGTTTGTTTTTTGGTTTTTTTGTTTGTTTGTTTGTTTTTTTGAAACAGCATTTTATTATCTGCCTTTTTTAAATGGAAATGTTTCCTCTAGCTCTAGGTACGAATTTTTGTTTCTTGCAACACTTCAATACAAACAGAAAACTGGCATTTCCCCCCTTGCCTGTAATAACCCTTAAACATGACTGCAGTATTTAGCTACAATTTTACAGTTTGTTCTAATATTTGCAGCACTGTGGTCTGTTCTGTCTTGGTGGGAGGATTCTGTGTAAATCAGGGAGACTAGAATCTGCCCTATTCTAAGTTTTTACTAAAACGGTATCTTTTGATACTTCGCTATCAGAACAGCATGCCTAGTGGAAACTGTTTCTGAGGCACCTATTGCCTTGATATTCATGGCACTACCCTAATTCCAGATGTTCACTGGAAAGGAGGCAACATTGTGTAACTGCATCTTTGGAACAATGTATGAAAAGAGCCAGATTAAACGTGTTTTTTCTATCAAGCTACTTGTTTTCTGCAGTTCTTTAAAGGTTTTCTTAGATTTTACACAGGATTTAGTCTAGGTCTTAACTCCCCCAATCTAGACACACAGTAATGAATCACTGCATAATGTTTGTTCCCTGTTTTTTCTATTAGTGTGGGGGCCAAATTTGTAGTGTCACAAGAAGGTGCAGTTTTTTACAAAAGCTGTAACTAAAAACTAAGTTTTTTTTACCAATAATGAATTGAACTCTTACATTTACTTCGCAGCTTCCTTGCAGGTCATGTGCCATGCCATGCAAGCTCCCTAGTTCCTGTCATATTACCTCCTGGGCTCCTGTCATATTATGTGAGCCCGTACTGGGTGAACTTGCTGCACCATGGA